GGAACTCTTGGCTATGATGATCCCTCGCCACTGGTCCGGCTAGCTACAACCAACAGGAATCCCAGTCCAGCTGGAGCCCACCCTTGAATTGCAGGAATTCTCAGAAAGTTCCCTCTCCTTTCTATCCACCCGTCCGCTTGCTCAATCCGATAGAGCCACATCCTCTAAACTCTCCTTACAGCAGCCTGCCTCTCTCTGTCTCTCTCTCTCTCATATCCAGCACGACTATTCTGTTATTTTCTCTGTCAGATGGCTGATGGCCCAGAACATCCTGTGCAAGTTCCCTGCCTTCCTCCTTCCCATCGTGACAACAGTATGCCCTTTATGACTTTTCTGCAACAAAACCAACTAACCATAAAGTCAGCATGTAGAGCCACTGAATTTACCTGCAGCGCTTGCTCTTGAATGTCTCTGAACAACTCCATGTCTTTCTCAGCCATGACATCTGGGCTTCCAAGAAGCCATTCCTCGTTTTCCTGTTTTCCATCCCAGCCGTCCTGATTGTCTAAAAATAAAAACAGAATGACAGAACTTCTTGATGAATTGTCAACATGCAAAGCATGTAAGCTGGTTACAGATCCATACAAATTAACAGCCACATAAACAAAGGGAAATCTGAGCATTACTGCAGTAAAAATTCAGGAGCAGTGTATTGGTGGACCACTACTTTAAAACATCAGGTACATTCTACCCTGTTATAGTTGCACAAAAATTATTTAAACATGCTAACCAACATGTAAGTAAACTATACCCCAACATGTAGACCTCACTACTCTTTCGAAATAGCATCAATGATTTTATAGTCTGGAAACATTAAGTCTCAGATTCCCTCTGCCAGTCTGGCCAATTATACATTTTGGAATTTGGTCCAGAAAAAATAACTTTTGATGCTTTGGATTTTCCTTGCAATCTGTCCATGCCAAAATATACTTCTTGGCTTTGGCAGGAAGGCAGCCACTTCCCTGGAGTGGAAACATTTCAAACTGAGAGGGATACATTTGCTGCTAATTCTACCCACGACCCTTTATCAAGACCCCCTTGCAACACCTTGGGGCTTCTGACAAAAAAACACACACCTCTGTCTGGAAACTCAATTATTCCAACAGAGTTCAGAAAACTACTTCTAAGGGGACTACTGGCTGAGGCAATAAACTGCAAGAGAAGCCAAGGTATTTGCAGTTGTCCCAGTGCTCCACTGGGTTTTTCCAGTGTGGTGTAGTGGATGGAGTGATGGACTTAAGACAGGGTTCGAATCCCCACTCAGCCATGGAAACTCACAGGGGAGCAGAACTGGTAAAACCACTCCTTAAATATCTCACTCACCTTGAAAGACCTACTGGGGTCACTATAAGTTGGTTGCAACGTGACAGCACAGAACACACACACAGTGTCTCAAAAGAAAAACCAACTGATTACTTAAGAAGTTCTGAGGATTCTTCTGAATCTGTGGTTTATATGAATTTCAGGCAGTACAGCTAATACCATTTACCACTAGCTTACCTGTAGGCCAGTCTGAAGTGCTTGATTTCCTATTGTCCTTTCTCCTGATCCTATATTGCTGAGAATAGTCCACCACTTCTCCTCGAGCTTTACGCCCATCAGGGGACGGGGTGAAGAATTTGGTAAGGCCATCAATGAGCCCTTTGGTTTTCTTGTTGAATTTCAGGGTGGTGCTGGCATCTCTGCAGAATTCCAGGCCATCCACTTGCTCCAGATAACCCCCTTCTGACGAGCAAGTTAACTGGTTGGATAGGGGAGTCTTGCGCTTACGACCTCGGCCGGGTCCTGTCTGAACTTTGCTGAAGGGGGCTTTTGATCTTAAAAAAAAAAAAAAAACAAGGAAGAAACACAGAGGCTGTCAGGAAAAATCATCAGAAAGACTTTGCACAAAGCAAGAGGGTTCGCAAAGCACACCAATATCAGTGGCTCTGGGTTCTCTGACAAGCAAGACTCTGCAGCACACAATCTTTCCCAGTCCGTCCGTCCCCCCCCCCCCCCCGCTCTCCTGGATGAAACTGACAAACATCTATCCATTCAAAAGCAACCTTGCACTGAACACAGGTCCTCAACTAGAGAAACCAACTATTCAAGCATTGACTAGATTCCATGGTTGCAGCACAAATCATAACGCGCCTTTGTGCCGTTCTCTGGAGGTACAACAAAACCACATTTCCCAGGCACCTAATACAGGTGCAGACAAGCTGGTGCCCCTCCCAGATGTTCTTTTCTACACCTCCTATTTGCCCCAACAAGCACTAGCGACCAGTAAGAAGTGGCAAGGATCCTACTCCAAGATGTCTGGAAGGCACCAGGTTTTCTGTCTCTGCTCTAATGACAGCTCCACATTATCTAGAGCACTCTTCTGTCAGTCTAGTGTGAAAGCAATTAGCATGGTTTGCAGCTGTGCACCTTTAGGAATGGCCTCAGCACTGCTACGGCAAAACCTCAGATGCCTTTTCATGAAGGAAGCTTGCTGCCGACACCTGATAAAGAGGGAATCCAAACGACGTGAAGACACTTAAGGTGTTAGCATCTCCCTCCTTTTAGCTGCAGAATACTTGATTAGAAGAAGCCAGTTTTCTCAGGATGGTCTATACTGAATACCACCCTCTAAACTGTTATTTAAAAAAAAAAAACTGATAAAAGGCCAGAGCCAAAACAAATGCTGAATTCTTTGGAGTCCAAGCATTAAAGGAACCCAACAATCAAAATTAGTGTGGGGGGGGGAGTGGCGTTGTATATGCTTTAAAAGAAAACCCATTCCACTTGGGTAGAGCGTTTTGCAAAATGTGTCCTAGGTCACTGTTGTAACAACAAACGCACTCCCACAAGGACAAAGCAATACAAGCTCCGTGACCTGGAGTTACCACAACCAAACTACAGAATTACTTACGTTGCATTTTGGTTCTTTAACCGGTTTTTGGGGCGTCCTATTGGGTTGGCGTAACGCCGCTTAATCTGTGCTGCCTTTTTATGTAGAAGTTTTCTTCCTTTTTTACGAGGCCGACATATCTGACATATCCACATGCCTGTAAGGCAAACAGACTCATCATAATATCAATAGACAGCTACAGCAAGATTCAGCCCGAGGCCTTGTCTTCTCTCAGCTCATACTCTTAGCTGCTATATCTCAAAAGACAATCTCTTTTGCTGTGTGGGTGTCCACGTATGCAAGCTGTGAAGTGCTTCAGAATTTTCAACCAGAATTACATTACCATTTTACTCTGCCTGTTAAAAGGCGTCCCCTGTAATTGGGAAGGTGCAAAATACGGTAAGCTACAGTTGTCTAGTTTTTCCACCCCTCTGTGTGCCAATCAATCTCTTCTTACCTTTCGGCATCCTGGTCAGAGGGGGGTCACAACACTCCATGTGAAAGCCCCGATCGCATGAGTCACAAAAGAGCATATTATCCTGCAAAGTGCAAAGGATTTTAGTTAATAATCTTCTCATATAAACTCAAACAAATAATCTGTCTAATTATTCTCTAATTCTATGGGAAGTACACAGCCCTCCAAATAAATGCCCCAGCACCACTTCACTAAAGATAGGAGCAGCACAGGACCAAAGATAATAGAATTATCTACATGCACTTGTAACAGGGAAAAATGAGTCCCACATACGTTTAATAGAACTTCAAAACATTGACACATCTCAATGCAATCTCCTTTCTTTTTTCAATTAAACTATTAAATAATAAAGTTATTTTAATGTAAACAGATGACCTAAATTGCTGACACTCCACCCATACAAACCAACAACTGCTCGGTATTTAAAAGGCGTGACCACATGCTGGCAATACTTATGACAGCGAGACATCAAGACTGACAGATCCCCTTCCCATTTCCAACTGCCCAGACAAAGCTTCGAACTGTTCTCTTGCCTCTAAAAGGTCAAAGGAAACTGGCAGGAAATACATAGATCAGGAAAAGCTCTGTCCTTCACCACTATCCCTATAGCCAGCACAGATATTTGCTGAACCTTGACATGCGCTCCCACCCCCACCCCTCCAAGGCTATCTGCTCTCACACAGATTAACAACTAACTAATTGCAAGTAACTGGGACTGTAAATCTAGATGTCTGTGGCCAAAAGGACACCCTTCTTTGTAAAGTGAAGATTGTGGAGCCATCTTCCACCAAAGATCTTCCAGAATCAGGAGAGACAGTGGTCAGCTTAAGTGACACACCCACACACCCACAAAAAACCCTTTGCCATGAGATTGGCTTATGACAGTTGAAAATGCCAGAACTGCCCTTCCTGCCAGTGCCAATTAGAACTGTTTGCTTCACTGATTTTATGGCTGGTTACTTCATTAATCATATTGTTATTCTCTGCTGCTGAAACAGCTGTCTGAAAAATTAGTTCTTTCTCCCCCCCCAAAAAAAAAAAACACATGTATCACCATTAGTGGAACAGAGTACTGAATTGGCCATTCAAGGAACATTTGCTAATTCTATTTTAAAAAATTTATACCCAAATTTAAAACATTTTCTACTTCAAATGTTCCAAGTAGCATGCTGTTTATTATGTGCCACCAATGTTTCTAATTTATGGCAGCTCTACGACTAAATGAATTCTGAAAGATCCTGTCATTTAGAGACCAAGTGAAGTCTTGCAAACTAAAGGCCGAATTAACTGGTTTCTTGTTAGGTCTTTCCTTTTCCTGCAGACTTTCATAGCATTATATTTTCCAGTACATCTAGTCTTTTCATGATACATCCAAAATAACAGCATGCCTCAAACAGCATACAGCAATAAATAAATAAAAATAGCAACCAGAGAAAAGTTACATATTGAGAACCAAACTGTACACTAACTCCTTTCTGGAACAGGAAAGATTTACAGACTGCTGCAAAGCTAGCAGAAATTTATAGACTGCTGCAAAGCTGCTGGGAAGGGGAACTGAAGCCATCATATAAGAGCGCCAAAAGAGCTGTCATGTACACCTAACCCATCTAACCTCAGAAGACAGAGATCAGAAAGTGGAGAGACACAGAGCATCCCTTCAGCTGATGCTATAAAAGAGGAGGCAGGGTCATATGGGAGAGCAAAGTCTGAATTTTAAAGGTGATCACAAACACTCTGATGACCCTTGACATTCAGCACTCCCTCCAAAAGCAAGGAGCGAGCCAACACAAGTGATGCAAAAGCTCTCTGCAGAAAACATCTCCTGGAGCTCTTACCACTTCACTTTACTTGAGCTGGAGTTTCCTAGCAATTTTTTTAAAAGCATCCACCATGTCCTGGTCTCCTGCCAGGGTACCCATGACTGTGGTCATCTTTCCCTTTTCAGGTAAGCACCTTTCATAGGAACCTTCCCTTCCCTAACATTATTCCCAGCTTCACCTCAGTTTGCACCTTGGGATACAAGTGGTTAGGAAATTAACTACCCATCATCCAAAAGGGAAACGCCCCGTCTGCACACTCACCGCATTCTTGCCTTGATCTCGACAGGAACTGCAGGTTTTGCACTCAATGCACTGCCATCGTAAGGCCTTCACCCGCACGGTTAACTCTGGCGAGAACTTCAGGCAGGATGGATGACCTGTGCCAAGGGATGGAGAACAAGTCAAGTAAAAGACAGCAGGAGCAGCCTGTGCTCAGGAAGGGCAGGGGCTACTAGTTCTAAGGGAGATAACATCTGGCGGGGAAGGTTCCAGCTCTTTGGGCAGTTCGACACATGCCCAGCACTCTAAGATTAAATCACATGATGATCTGGTTCAGGGAGGAAGCGGGTCTCCTGCTCAAATGCTCAGTTTGTAGAATAATGAGAAACTGTTAACCCCAGCATAATTGTTGACACTGGAGAAAACACCAAAATGTAGTTGTCCCACAATGAATCCAAAGGCTTTGAAACTTTTACAAACTACTTTTACAAGGCATGTGCTCTAAGACAACAGCTGAAATCCTGTTCATTCTGGTGTAATGTAAAGTTATGACTGAAGCAGAAGTGTGCCAGGCATTACATCTAGGAAACCAGCACTGCACAATTAATTAATTTATTAATCTCACTGTACAATCAATAGTGTGGTTCCAGCCACAACTGTTGCATGGCAAGCATGTGGAGCCACTTTATGAACGGCATTTCTACCTTGCCACAGTTCTGCCTACTGCTCACACAGAGCAGCATAACAGCATTTCAGCAGATATCCACTTGAATATCTCCAAAATTCTTGATTCTAACCCAACTTTAAAAAAAATTGTCACATTCAAACAAATGTTTTGATTCAAGTATCTACTGATGTTCACTTTCTCTCCCATATCCAGTATGCGGAGAAGCACTGCCTGCAACAAGACAGCTGCTCACAGCAGTACTATAGCATTGAGAGGATTCAGCACCACAATAAACACAGCAAAACATAAGTATACTGACTGGTGCAACTAATGTGAGTACTATAGCTTTGAGAACTCACGTATATCTTATCAGTGCCACACTACTGCTTTGATCAGCTGTCTTGTTGCATATATCTATGTGTGTGTGTATGTGTGTGTACACACACACATATACACAAATACACACACAGAGAGAGAGAGAGAGAGAGAGAGAGATTTCCATAGTTTTAAATGTGAATGCAGAGTGGTTTTCTTAAACTAAGCTTGCGAATGGATGAATACACATACAATTACCCACACCCGTAATCCTTTTAAGGTAGGAGGGGTGCAAAGAAGTACAAGGTGACCTGTCCTCAACAACCTATAGAAATTCCAGAACTTTTAAAAAACTCTAGAAGAATAAAATTAACTGACCAGATGAAAAAGAGGACAGTCACTCTAGGTACTATTTATTTTAATTTTTTTGTTAATGTGTTCAGCCAATTCTCTTCAAAAAAGGGGGGCTGACATCTTTTCTTTTTAAAAAAATTAACCGGTCTTGTCATCAAGCTTAAAAGAAAATTGATATACACAAAGGAATGAGTGTGGAAGAGGACCAATATTCCAAGAAAGTGATGGGTAGGTATTTTAAATACAGGCATTTAAATGTAGTTCAGTACAGGACGACCTGCCCTACTGGCATTCTTCCTTGAATGGCAATTGACGACTCTTGTACTTTTTCCAATGGAAGAAATTAGCAAAGGAACTGAATTTTCTCAATGTAGTAAGAACTCTTTTTCCCTTGCCCCTCCTTGCAACATTATGCTGTTATCTAGCTGTCAACTACCAATGTGAGATCAAGATCACTGCCAGTGTTATGATTATGCTGGAGAAAGGAGTCATCCTTACTGTCCTTGAGAAATGCTTTATTTGTACACAACCTGAGGAAGTAAAAAAGGCCAGGCACGGGTTGGCTCTCAACAGAGAGGCAGCTATGTTGTCACCAACACCACAGATCACATCGCTTGAAACGCAGGCAGGCACCTACCACTATTGCCGCAGTCAGCACAAGAGATGAGCTCCTCGGGTTTCTTTTCTCGGTTCTGTTCTTTTGTACCAAGACAGAAACTGCAGATTGGGATCGGTTCAGCAACTGGCTGCAATGAGGCAGAGAAGAAAAGAGAAACAATGTTGGGTTTTTTTAAATTAATTAACATTCTGCAAAATCTCCTGGCCTATGAACACAACATAGTAGGGTGATATAACTCAATATCAAAAAAGTTTAAGATATACCAGACCCAATCTTTAACTCTGAAATTCAGAACTCCTTATTATAAATGCACATATAGTTGGCTTGTACAAAAGTAGCTCCAAGGCACTGTGGCAACAGCAACCTTGGGACAGATGTGGCGAAGCAATGAGAGTTTCCCCATGCAAAGTGCAGCATGCCTGCACTGAAACAACTAAGACTCAGGTTCCTAGACAGAGGAGGGCTCTGCTTTATTTGAAAAGCCGAGGTTTCTGCCTGGAGTGGTTGCTGACAAAAGCCAGCTAGTAAAAGGGCCAATCCCTACACCATCATCCAAGCCCATCAGATGAGGCCTTAGGAAAGTTATTCTGGCAGTCCAGCTTCCTGCAAAGGACTGCTGTGGCAATAAAGCACCACTTCATTAATTCCAATCAGAGCTATTTGGAGGAAAAGTGGGATACAAATGACATCAATTCTGTCATTTGTTTATTTGTGGGCAATGCAAGCCTCGAACACTACAGTGAGTAGAAATTATCAATAATAACAGCCAACTCAGTGCTCACAGCCTATACAGTATACAAGTAAATAAATGTGAGCATTGATCATATTTATACCTCCTTTCCAGATCAAATGCTTGAGCTGATATTTTACTTTCTCAACAATTCTGTTCAGTAAATTAGGATGTAGGAATACATTTCTTCAAATGTCACTGATCCACTGCAGTCACTTAAAATAGCTGTGAAATGACTGAAACAGTAGGATCCCACAAGCAGTCTGAATCCCTGAAATACTGCTTCCACTTAAAGAGGCAGGTCTGGCTTTCCCTGTGTATTTTATTCTTTTGTGCAAATAAGTGAATACTGTGTCTATCAACAACAATTTATAACAGATGAATTTAACATACATCAATGATTTAATTGTCAGTGGTAAACAAGGGGATGGTAAAATTTTGCAAAATCCCAAGCAGACTGAAAAAATTCAAGATTTTCCAAACTGGAGGAACGGGCAGCAAAACAATCTGCAAAATACAGTCAGCAGAAGTGTAAAGTGATGGAAGGGGGCACAACAATCAAGACACAGAAACAACTGGCTGTGTCTACACATGGGAGGTGCAAACCAGAGTCTCATGAGTGCAGAAGCACCCCCAATCTTCAGACCAAATTTGTTATGTTTTTATTTTTAAAAAATATTTTAACCCACCCCCTTTCTTTTGAAAAGGACCGGAAGCTTTCTATGATGTTGCAGTGAAAAAGGCAATACTACTATTATGGAATGAATAGGAATGAAAGCAAAACAAAAACAGATGATATCATATAAACACATGGCACTCTTTTTCATCACTGCAGTGTTTTTACTACATACAAATTTAGAGCTCCAGGAGCAGAGATTTGCTTGGAAATGCTCTTCTGGGGGTGGTCAAAGTGTTAAGCAGAAGAAGGGGGCTAGACATGAACTAACCAGCATCCACATCTTCCCATGAGGACATCATCTTGTCCTCTGCAGTTTGGTGGGGACGTTCTACCCCTTTCCTAGTTCAAGAGGGCTGACAGGGAAGGTGAAAAGACAAGCGCAGGGAAGACACATACCATTTCGTAACTCTGCAGACGGCTTTCCAACAGGAAAGCAGGATGTTGTCTGCTCCAGAGGGCTCAGGTATCATCAACAAAATCACTTATTTTCTGAAGAAAAGGATGTCCTTCCAATTTAGGGAACATAGGAGACTGTATCCTATTGAGTCAGGTTGGTCTGTCTAGCCCAGTATTGTCAACCATAGCTGTTGGTGGCTGTCTCGGATCTAGCCAACCTAGAGATGCAGGAGACTAAAACTGCAACTTGCTGCCCTCAAGGCAGGTGGTGTTCCCCCCCCCCCAGGAGCTACAGCTCCCTTCCCCAGCAGAGCAGCTGGTATTCCTGATGGTTACTCCATCCTGTTAACAACCAGGTCCAGCCTGCTTAGCTTCTGGAACGAAAAATGTTCAGTGTGGTGAGGCGTTGGTTCCTGAATTGCATGGTGCCTCCTCTCACGTTCTGTTTCTGACCCATCCAGTGCTGACCACAAAGCTGTCTCATGGCCCAGGAGTGTGCAGTGCCACTACAAAAAAGACACTTGGTAGATAAGAAGTGATAGCACATCTCAGACGTCCAGGCAAGAACAAAGAAAGCCCAAGGACATGGGGTGAGTGTCTAACCGCAGGTCACCAACTGGCTATCTGTGCTCACTTTCAACTGCACACCAGCAGCAGCTTCTGGAACAGAGAAGCCATTTATTCTATGAGCTGTATCAGGATATATAGCACAGGACCCAGTTTCTATATTTACTGACGGGTTCAGAAGCAGCCCAATACCAACTGGTGTAGGACATGTGTTTGTGCAGCCCAGGCCTTACTAATATTTTAATGTCTCATGTCAGTGGGGGGCAGGCACATTTGTTAAAACATTTACTTCTACCATCCCTTTCCTCTGAGCCTTAAGAGACACTGAAGAACCGTGTTCTGGCCCTTTTCAACCTCACACCCTTTCTTTTTAAATTTCATTTTTATCTTCCTGTCAGTTTGGTCTGCTAGCTTGCCTCTTGTCTCAGTCAGACATGAGGGACCGTCATTATGCCACTTTACAAAGGATGGTATGGTGCCTGCACTTGTTTTCAAGCCTGATTGAACTCCACCATTTATCCAATCCATCTCTCCTCGACCTGGTGCTCTCCAGATGTTTCAGATGGCAATTTAATCATCCTCAACCGCTGCCCATAATGACTGGGGCTGAGAGACAGTTGCCATGCAAAACCTCTGGAGAACAGGCTGCGCTAATAATCCCTTGCACCTCTCTCTAGAACAACAACAGCCCCTCTGACTTTGTAAACAGAAAAATGAAGTCTCCTTGTGCCTAACAGCCTCGTGTCTCAACTGCTTACACCACTTTACCTGGCTGTTGTCATGCCTGGGTTACAAGTGAACTATTAAAATAACCCAGCGAGTCTGAAGGAATCACCAATAAAGGAATGTAAAATGTATGCCACACAGGGTAAAAAAATAAAATAACACCCTGCCTTTCACAGTTTGAAGTTTTCCTTTAGCGATCATCCCTAAGGGAGTCACTGAACAATAAACGAACAGCTTTACAAGTTCAATCAATGCCAGTGCAGTTAGAAAGAAAGCATATTGAATGTTACTAGGATGTGATAAGGATACATGTAATTACACTGAATAGGCGTGGAAGCCTGGGCCCAGAAATCGTTTGAATCAGTATGGGAAGGAAGCTCCCCTTGCTAGTTGTGGGTACTCAGCAAAGAGATCCAGGGAAAGTGGGGTTGGGGGGGGAGTTAAATATACACAATTGAGGACTTGGGAAAACAAGAGTCGGGAGGGGGGGAAGGGGCAGCTCAATTTCCAACTGCAGAGTTTTGGCAGACATTCAACTCTCGGTGCTGTTTTCCTCCTCGCAAGCACATCTATCTCTGTAATGTCACCAGAGCTGGAGGAAAAAGAGGGGGGAGGGGCGAGAACAAGAGGAGGGGAAGGGAAGAGTCAAGAGAGAAAGACTGACTGTGTTTTAAAAGCTGCCAGTTTCTCAGCACATGCTGTTACTACACAAAAGACGTCTGGGAAGCCAACTTGCTTGACAGATTCAAAGACTAAACTGCTCCCACAGAGAAACGCAGAGCTGAGAACAATCTATGGAAAAGAAGGCTTTAGCACACGCACACACACACACACAGGATTTCTCGGGCAGCAGTTCTGTTTTGCAGACAGAAGGGCTCATTTTACTCCATCTTGTGATCCCGGGTCGACCGGCAGAGACTAGAATACCAAATCCTGTTTGAGAAAGAAAGGTCCACATTGTGGCAACGTATTCCAATCGCTGGGTTTCTAGCCTTCTCCTTTCTCAAGGGCTTAAGGCAAGCAACAAGAAAGGAAAGCAGAATGCCCTCCCTTTAAAAACAAAAACAGTGAGTTATCTTGAGGCTGATAACATTTTTTTAATGAGGAAACAAGTCCTAGAGGCGGAACAGCAGTTTTAAAGCCACCTCCTGTGAAGAAGGTACATATTGGTTCTTTTGCCTCATCCTTATGCTTGTATCCCACTCTTCCTTTATGCCACTCTTCCTTTATGAAGTCCAGAAAGGCCATATAATCACACAACAACTCTGAGAGGCTACAAATCAATTTATTTATTTATTTCTATTTATTTATTTGATTTATACCCCGCCTATCTGGACCAGTGGACCACTGGTGCCTTGTCCTCCTGGCTAAACCAAGGCTGGCTAAATCCTGGCTAAACCAAGATTTCAATCTAGATTGGCTTCATCTGGATCTATTCAAGTTCCAGAAAACCAGCATGTTACAATGGCAAGAGTGAGCTGGACAAGAATCTAGCAACACCAGTTCAGATCCTCACTCAGCTCTGAGAATTCTGAATCACTTTAGGTCATTACAGCTTAATACACTGTGCAAGGTTGTTATGAGACCAAAATGGAGGCAAATCATGTATACAAAAGCTAAACATGCATTAAAGATCAAGGCCTAAATCCAACTGCTATATTCAACTAAAGTAGAGTCAATGAGATTTGAGGAAGTACTGTATTGATTTACCATTCAACAACTGATTCAATGGCTGAAATCACTGATAAGTCAAAATGAGAGGAGGCCCACTAAATCAATGGAACTTATAAAAGAGGTCACCCATCAAATCTGCACTGATTCAACAGGACTGCTCTAGTTGTGACTAACTGCTGGATTTTAGCCAACTGGTCTACTCCAGTCAGGAATGGAGACTAAATTTAAACCTAATATACTGAGAGCAGAGTATAGCAGACATCAACCTTGCTGACTACATTTTCCACAATATGACACCTGCTTTAGCAAAAGATCATTGCATCTGGCAGTTACCCTGGCGATCTCTCAGTAGCAG